TGTTGTCCACCGTGTTGGCAAGCAGCTCGTGCTGTTGTTCCATGTGTTGGATGCGGGTCGTAGCGGCATCTGACAGTTTAGGGGCCGTAGCGAAGCGTTCGCCGAGGGTGTTCGGTTCGCGCGATGCCACGCTGAATTCATCCTCTGATGAGAGGATCTCGACGTCGCCTGGTACCTCGGCGGCTGCGTCAGCGTGCCCTTCCGTGTGGCCCCCACCTTCGGCCGCCCCCGTGCCAGGTTGCGGGTCATGCCCGTCCCCACCTGGTCCTTGGACGGCCGTCTGCTCGGCAGCTCCATCCGTGCCGTGCGGGGGTGCAGAGGAGCTGCGGCCTGGAGCGCCGTGTGATCTTGCGTGCGGCGTGGCGTCGCGTTTCCCGCTGGAGGATCGGTGGCGCTTGGCTAAGGGCTCCTCCTTGGGGATCGGGAGCGGTGCGACGCCCTTGCCTTTGGGCGTGGCAGTCATGAGGTCGTGGAGGTAGGGGCTCTGGGCCGCTTTGGTTAGGAGTGTGCCCGTGGCGGGGCTGAAGCCGCCACCACGGGCGGGCGGCGTCACAGGCTCTGTGATAGTGGTAGGGGTGACAATGGTAACGTTGTCCCTCTTCGGCACGACCTCAGCCAACGGGGCCTCGGTGATGCTCCACGGGATGGGGCACCCTGCGACCTGTACCGTATATGTGGGTGGGGGACGATGAGCGCGCACTAAGGCAAACTGCGCCGAAGTGGCTGGGTCCCAGGCGGTGTGGTAGACCTCACAGTCCCATTTGACGGACGGGCCCGTGAGAGTCTTGGCAAGCTGAGTCAGCGTGGCATGGCGTGCCGCAATGCCCGTGATGCGGTATCGCGTCTTGGCGAGAGTGGCTTCGCAGCCACGGATGCTGACGGCAGCGGCCTTGGCGGCGTCTGACCCACGTGCAACACGGATCCCCAATAAGCCTGACTTGCCGTGCCTGACGACTCCTAGGGCTTTGAAGTCCACCGACTTCTGAAACGCCTCTGCCATCGTGATGGGCTGGTCCTCGGGGAACCACACGGTCTGGTACTTGTCTGCCGTGGGCTCGTCCGCACCTACGTTGCTGAGGTCGTAGGTGGCGCCGAGTTGCCCCGAACCCGCCAAGACCTTGTCAACTGCTTGAAGACTGACGCCGAAAGTGGCAGCCAGGGACCTTTTTCCGACGCCAGATCCGTACCTGCCTAGACTTTTGCAGGGTTCGAGGATAGTGACGGCTTTAAAGTTGCCGTGGAAAAGGGCCTTGAAGGTGTCCTGCAGCTGACTGTCGAGCTCCTGGCGGCGAGCGTCTTTCTTAGACTCCCTGTGCTTTTGGTTTTGGCGCGCCTTGTCCTGTGGAGCGGAATCCCCTCGGAAAGGACCCTTGGCGCGTGGACCACCGTTCACGGGGGCGCCTCCCGAAAACTGATCCTCGAAGGCCTGATGCATGGAGGGGACTGCGGCGATGGCTTCGGTTTCATGTATGGTCACCCGAATCCAGCATACGTGGTCGGCAGGATCAATGGTGGCGACGGCTACTTTTTCCGTGCAGGCGACTTCCTTGGTGCCCAGCTGGTACACGGTCACGGGGACGTGCGTGTGAACCACATTGGGCGCCTTGGGGTGGCGCTTCAGCACGGGGACGGCGAGCTCGGTGCCGACGTAGTTGTCGTTTTTTGGGCCCATGACAGCGATCGCGAGCTGACCCGTGGTACGCTTACCCTGCTCGAGATGGTGCTGCAGCAGCCGCTCGCCACTCTCGTAGTCGTGGAGGCTGATGCTGGGCTTGTACGTCTTGCCGTCGTCGAGTGATGTGGGTTCGGCCAGGACTGGGACCTTCCAGAAGGCCGGGTCCAAGGCAATAAATTTGGCGTCCGCAGCCTGAAGACGTGCGGACGCAGCTGGTGGATAGGATGTGTCACCACCATTGCGCTTAGGCTTGCTGCGCTGGTGGTGATCCAGCGTGTAGCTGATCTGGTTGGCGGCACACATGCGAATCAAGGCACTGCCGAGCTTCTTGGTGTTGGTCTTGTGCATGTCGTACGTGGCCTGCAGCTCGTCCGCGTTCAGCTCGGCGAGCCCGTTGTATGCGGCTGTGGGGCGGTCAGACCCCGCTTGCTTGAAGGCTGCAATGCAGTCCTGTTTGCGTTGGAGGAGGGATCCTTCAGCTGCAGGACGTGAGCTCGGCGGCTGCTTGGAAGAGCGACGGCGCTCCGGCTTGGCGGGGGCCATTGCGGCGGGCGCTCTGGTGGGAGGGAAGAGGTGACGCAAATCAGTAGGGTCCTGCTGGGACCCCTCCGGTCTCGCGAGGCCTGGGAGTCTGGCTCCGAGGCGGGGCGCTTCGCGTCGCGGCTGCGGTCTGAGTGCAGGGCACTCTCGAGCCGAGACTAGAGAGAGAGAGAGAGAGAGAGAGAGAGAGAGAGAGAGAGAGAGAGAGAGAGAGACGAGAGAGGGAGAGAGAGGGAGAGAGAGAGAGAGAGAGAGAGAAACAATATATATATATATATATAGCAAAAAAAGAGCGAGAGAGAGATAGGGGTAGAGAGAGAGAGAGAGAGAGTGAGAGAGAGAGAGATAAATCATATAAACAGGGGCATATATATATATATATATATATATAGAGAGAGAGAGAGAGAGAGAGAGAGAGAGAGAGAGAGAGAGAGGGATGGAGGGAGATATAGAGAGAGAGAGAGAGAAAAACATCATAAATCACGCGGACCACGTCTGTCTGAATGAGAGGGGAGGAGGGGGCGGGGGGTAAACCGCGGCATGCGAGCCAGGCAGCATGTGCTCCAGCGCATGTCGAACGCCGTCGTGCCATCTCTGTCGTGGGCGACGGGCTCAGTCTCGTGCCTGTTCGTCCAGCATGCATGCTGTAACCGTTGAGCTGCGCTTTCCAGCTGTGGAGCCAACGCTCGCCTTGCCAATGCAACAACTGCGCGGCCCCTGAGCGGCTGTTACGGGATCGTTTAAGGTGCGCGCGCCAAAATAAGACGCGGAAGCAATGGCGATGGCTCCACTGGCGCTTCTGCCCACGCGAATCTCTGGCCCCGCGAGCCCTACGGCGGAAATCTATAATCTGGCGCTGATTCGCCTCCGTGCCATGGCGCCCGCGTGAGCGGGCCCGACCGTGCAGCGTTGGCAGGTGTCGATGCGCCCCTCCAGGGTGGCGGCTGGGGGTCGCAGACTGCGTCGATGGTCGAACGCAGGTGGCGCTGACCAAACCAGCAGCCTCAGACGCTCTTGCGAAGGGACCTCCCGGAGCCGATGCGTCGAACAATTTGCCCAGAAAGCACGCCCGTGGCTGCCGAGGTCCTGTCGGCGCAAGTCGTGCGCGCTCGGGCCTGCCCTAGGACGTGGCCCAAGGCTTAAAAAGGAATCGGTCGGCGCCCAGACGGGCGCGTCCGACGCGGGCGGGTCGCCTCCAGCAGCTGCCATGTGAGAAGTATTTGATTGCTTGATCTTCAACCCCTAATCGGGCATGGTAAATGGTTCAAGCTCGTCCAACATGCACGTTGCGTTATGCAGCGAACTGTTTGCTGCGTAGATGTTGCCAGCAAGCGTAGCTTTAGCAAGATGCGCAGAATTGCCTAACTGGAAAAGGCACTGGCAGACCTCGGGCAACTTTCCGAACGTGGCTTCCGCAAGGATGCGGCCCACGGCACTGTTTACCCGGCTGCCAATGAGACTCCCGCGTTATTTTTTCCAAAAATCCGCATCAATGCCGCCGACGCTTGCTGCCGTACTTTCCGTGCGGCTGCCTCCGTCACCATTCGGGCTGCGTGCCTGGCCTCCGCGCCGCCCTCTTCCTGCTTGGCGGCTGCAGGGCGTCGGTGGCGCTCTTCCGAGAGGTCCCATCCGAGATTCTCGATGCGGGCCACCGTGCGTTGCTCGGATTGCCCGGTCAGCCTTGTCCTCGACCTTTTGAATGCGCTGACCGACATAATGCTCGAATGTCTCGAACGTGGCTCCGAGAGTGGCACCCGCAGCTTGCTGAAGCCAGTGGAATTGTGGTTCGCCAGCGACGAGGGCGCACCGGGGGGGCTGGACCACTGCGCGAGGGAGTCGTTCGCATGATCGTCCATGAAAAACTCGAGAAAGACGCTTGGACAAACAAGTCTACGGAGTGGATGCGCTGCTGCTCTCTACTTGAGCCAAAATGGTTTGAGCCACGCCTCTCCTTCCGCAAGCCCGACGCGCCGCACCCGCCGAGCGCCATGGTAGGAACTGGTATGGATCAGAACTGTGTGGACAAACCCTGCTTACAACATATGAAAATAGCATTGACTCAAGCGCATCGCCTCGTGTTCGAAATTCCGCTGACCGACTCGCAGTCGTCGCCAGGTACATCATATTTAACCCAAGTGGCTACGGATGGCTGGTGATTACGCTGATGGGATAATGCTGGTGCGGATGCGGATACTGATGACGGTGATCCTGCTGATGCTGCTGCTGCTGATGATGATGATGGTGATGGCGATGATGTTGGTGACGATTCTGATGATGATGATGATGTTTGTGATGAATATGCTAATGATGGTAATGATGTTGCCGATGATGAGGATGATGCTGAGGATGATGAAGATGATGATGATGATGGTGCAGCTGTTGCTGATGAGACTGTGGTGCTTGTGATGCTGGTGATGCTGATGGGGAGGGGTGAGGAGGATGAGAAGGAGGAAGAGGAGGAGCAGGAGGAGGAGGAGGAGGAGGAGGAGGAGGAGGTGGATGTTGATTGAGATGAAGATGAAGATGAATATGAAGATGAATATGATGATGGTGATGATGATGAGGATGATGAGGATGATGGTGACGATGATAAGGATGATGAGGAGGAGGAGGAAGAGAAGGAGGAGGAGGACGAAGAGAAAAACGAATATGAGAGGGAGTGGGAGGCTGGTGGATGGTGATCATGAGGATGATGCCGAGGACTGATGGTGGTGGTGGCGATGAAGACATCGCGGTGCTGATCGTGGCGGACGCGCCCCGGCGGTCTTCGGGGGCGCCCCGGCGCCTCTCCCGGGAACCACCGGTTGGCCGAGTTCGACCACACGGTCACCGCGCTGCCCAGGCCGAAGGGCGCCGCCGCCCGCGCAGTCCGCGGGGCGGCCACGGCCTCCGCTTCGGGATCCGCGGCTTCCTTCCTCCTCCTGGTCCTCGTCGTCGTCGTCGTCCTCCTCCTCCTCCTCCTCTTCCCCCCCCTTTCCTCCTCGTTCTCCCCCCCTCTCCTCCTCATCGTCCTCCTCCTCGTCCCCCTCATCCTCCTCCTCCTCCTCCTCCTCCTCCTCCTCCTCGTACTCCTCCTCCTCGTACTCCTCCTCCTCGTCGTCCTCCTCCTCCTCCTCCTCCTCGTCCCCGTCCTCCTCCCCCTCCCTCTCCCCCTCCTCCTCGTCGTCGTCGTCCTCCTCCTCCTCCTCCTCCTCCTCCTCAAGGCCTAGGGGTGGTGGCGAGTGGGGTTCGTTGACGAACGCTGCGATCCCTCCTCCTCCTCCTCCTCCTCCTCCTCCTTCTCCTCTTCCACATCGTCCTCCAGTTTTTCCTCCTCGTGTGTGTTTGTGTGTGCGTATCCCTTTGGCGGGTTCGCATTTCTCGTCTTCCTTTTCCTCCGTCGCCATTGGTCGAAGCGGTGCGACCTTCGCGGTGACGCGTACAATCTTTCTTGTGCAAGTGGTCCCCCCATTTTTTGCCCTGATTTCGCCTGCCTTCATGGTAGCTCTTCGCGTCTCTGGCTACGTTTGGGGTTGCTGTTTTAACGCTGTTTTTTTATTGCACGTCGGCCATGCTTGCGACTGTCCACCCCCCACGTGCGCCGCCGTACCGCGGTTGCTGCTCGCGGTCGCCCGCGTTCAGCTCTGTTTTTGTCCAAGGCTATGCCAGCCTTGTCCGCGCGATCATCATGTCACGCATACCTCTTGCTTTGTGACACGATCGCCTTAAGTGGTCCTTGCCCGCTGCGAACTCAGTGCGTTGCTTTGTCGCGCAATCACCTGTGCGTTTGCATCGCCACCCAGGTGGCTGGTCTGGCGGCCTTGCAATTCTTTTTCGGTGCCTTAGGCTGTAGTTAATTTTCTAATCATGTCGCGTTGGACTAAGTTCGTTTGCGATTGGCACCTCCGCCCGCCGACCGCGCCTGAGGCTCCTCTGCGCCGCCTAGTTAACAGTGTGTGTGTGTGTGTGTGTGTGTGTGTGTGTGTGTGTGTGTGCGTGCATGCGTGCGAGCGTTTAGTTTTGGTCTGCCCCGTTCCTGCTCTCCCTCTTGCCCGTCCTCTGCGTCCCTGGTTGTCCTCCCTCGCCGTCTCTGCCGCCGCCTCTCCTGGTCCGTCTCTCTTCTTCGCTTGCTCGGCGTCAGCTTTTCGCACCCACTGTGACCACCGTGTCGCTGCGCACGCGGGTGCCGAACAACAAGTGTGTGTGTGTGTGTGTATGTGTGTGTGTGTGCGCGTCATCCTCACCACATGTCATCCACGGGCCTGCGTCCCACTTTACCCTCCCTGTGTCGGATACTAGGCACGGCTGCTCCACATGGACTTCTGATCCGCTAACGGGCCCGCCGCGCTCGTCCGATTCGGTGACTTTGTCCGCCTCGTCGCCGCGCGCGAGGCCGCAATCGCCAAAGAATGTGCGTGTGTGTCGGCTGGGCATAGACGCGCGCGCTCCACTGGCTGCGCTCGACATTCTGCGCCCCGTCGCTGCGCGCGGGGCAGCGACGCTAAAAGTGTGTGTGTGTGTGCGTGTGTGCGTGTGCGTGCGTGTGTGTATATATAATTACGTGTGTGTGTGTGTGTGTGTGTGTGTGTGTATGCGTATGTGTGTGCGTGTCGCACTCCGTCGTCGGTCCACATTTATGGCGGCAGCCGGGCGCTGCGTGATCCTAAAAGGTCTCTGAGAGCTCAGCCGGGCATACATGCGCGCGTTTTGCCGCTTGGACTCGACTTTCTACGTCCTATCGCCGCGCGCGGGGCCGCGATGCCAATAGTGTGTGTGCTCTATAAGCGCGCCGCTGGCGTCGCTGCATGCGTCTGGCTGTCGTGCACTCTTTCCCATCGACACATGCTCGATGGTAACCAGGTTAGCCCATCCCGTTGATGCCCTCGCTGAGTTGGACGGACCAGCAACGAAGTAACAAGTGTGTGTGTGTGTGTGTGGTCGCCCTCGAAGCCACTCCTCGCGAGCTGCGGCGACTGCCGCCCCGACTTCGTTTCCTCCTGGGCGGCGTCCTCTTTCCTCGGCGCGGCCCCGCGGGAACGGGGCCGCCCCCGCCTTCGCGGGTGGGTGCCTAAAGCACCGAAAAGGCGACCTTTGGGCTCGGCCGCTGGGCTTGCGCCCTCCCTCCCTCTCGCTGGCCGCTTGTGTGTCTCCTTCCGTCGGCATGGCCGGCTCACGCCGGCGGCATTCGGACGCCTGACTCGGCCATAGGGCTGGCACAACCCAATGGAGTGTCGCCTGGTCGTCACCCTTTATCTAAGTTGGCCAGGGCACCCCCCCACTGGTGCGGCCCACGCCTGCGTGTCATCGGACGGGCGCAGGCGCCGGGGCTGCCGCTGGCTTTCCTGCAACCGTGCCCAGTCAAATGCACACTTGCATCGCTCTTCGCCCGCTTGCTGGGGCCCGCGTGCAGGGGGCGCGTCCGCTCGCGCTGCCTCCCGCGTTTTCTTGCTGGGCGAGGCTCCCTTTCACTCAGGCGGCCTCGCTTCCGCCGCCGAAGGGGTACAGGCCCTTCGGGGACCACGGGGCTCGCGGCGAGGCACGCCCCCACCCCCATGCACGCGCCCGGACCAAACCCCTCCCACAGGGCATAATCTCCTGGGGAGTCGTGCCCCCATTATGCGTGGCCCGGCCAACGCCAGCACTGGCCGAGCCCCAGCTTACCGCCTGACGCGGCATGTGGCCAGACGTACCAGGTTCCCCTTGGGGCCAGGGTGCCTGTGCGGGGCCACCCTGCTGCGGGTCTCTGGGGCGAACCTCGCCGCCCTGGCGCCAGGTCGCATCCGCAGCTGGCCGACCCCCGACGCCGTGATTTTTGTGACAACGTCGACCCCCAGAGGTCCGGACTCCTTCTCCGGGACCTGCTCTTCATCCTGAGTCGCTTTTTGACGGTCCCGAGGCCCGACGAGGACCCCTCGAGGCCGAAACTTGCGAAAAACCTCCCGTCGCGATTTTGTCACAGCGCGGGGGGCTCTGGGGGCGGCTCTTTCTGACGGTCCAGGCTCACGCTCGGGGCTCGTCTGGCGTTGCGCCCAGCGGGCGGCAAGCACGACGCCATCCGCTGGGGGCCTCGTGTGCGCGCGCCTTTCCGGGCACGACTGGCTCGCTCTCGCGCCGGGGGCTTTCTCCTCCCGCCGGGCGGGGCTCACCAACAGCGGGGCGGGGCCTGGCGGTGGCTCTACCGCGGGAAGGGCACGGCCACCCGCAGCATGCGGCACACATCGCGGCCAACCTTGGTCCGCACGCTTTTGGTCCCAAATGATGGGCGAATCTGCACCTTCCTGGCCCGGGCGCCGTCGCCCTTGCGCCCGTGTCGGTCTCGCGTGTGGTCGGCAAAGTCGCTGGCCCACGCCTTTCTTCTCTGCTTCGGCTTCGTCCGCCTCGCTGCCGCCTCCCCTCTTCAGGAATTGAACAGCGCTGTGGCTGGCACGGTGGACTTGCGGCTATGGCCTCCGTCTACCGTGATGCCTGGTTGCTTTCTTTCTTGTCTTGTCAGTACGCCCTTACACTCGGGCAGCATCGGCACCATTTGCGCTGCCCGCCGCTGTGGGCGCGCTTGCGCCGCGTCGTCGTCGCACATCGTCTCCTCCTGCCCTGGCGCTCCAGTCCGCCGAGTGTGCTCGTCTACTTCTTGGGCTTGCGTAGCCGCAGTGGCATTTTCTACGTGCTTGCGTGTCCTCGCGATTTCTTAACAAGCGACTGCCGCCGTCCAAGAGGAAATCATTCGCCTAAGCGTGACCCAACTTAGCGCATCGCGACGGTGTTGTTTACCCGCCGTTGGAGGAACTGCTGCTCTTTGTTACTGTTGGTTGCTTAGTTTTGTTAGTTTGTGTGGATTCGATATTTCCCTGCCAACCTGTTGTTGGGTCCTCGTTTTGAAGAGACAATCCCCGCGTTCCTCTCCTCTCCTCTCCTTTCCTCTCCTCCTCCCCCCTCCCGTCACCATCCTCAGTTTGGCACGCCCCTCACGCGTTTCGTGGCCCCATTGAGAGCTCCACAAAAGGTCCCCGCTGCGCAGCCCGTGTGCGTCTCCCCCACCAATACAACGTTTCCTGGCCCTACGACGAGTTCCACCGAAGGTCCCAATGACGCAGCACGCATGCGTCTCCCCCACCGAGTACAGCGTTTCGTGGCAAGCTCCACCGAAGGTCCCAAGGGCGCAGCCCGCTTGCGTCTCCCCCACCAGGTACAGCGTTTCGTGGCCCTATAATAAGCTTAGCCGAAAGTCCGTGCCGCAGCCCGCATGCGTCCCCCCCCCCCCACCCAGTACAACGTTTCGTGGTCCAATAAGGAGCTCCACCGAAGGTCCCAACTGCGCAGCCCACGTGCGTCTCCCCCACTCAATATAACGTTTCGTGGCTCCGTAAACAGCTCCACCAAAGGTCCCAGTGGCGCAGCCCGCATGCGTCTTCCCCCACCCAGTCCAGGCCCCGTCGGGAGCTCCACCGACGGTCCCACGGGCGTAGCCCGCATGCGCCTCCCCCACACAGTACAGCGTTTCGTGGCCCCATCGGAAACTCCACCAAACGTCCCAGTGTCGCAGCCCGCATGCGTCTCCCCCACCCAGTACAACGTTTCGTGGCCCTACATGGAGCGCCACCGGCGGTCCCAGGGGCGCAGCCCGCATGCGTCTCCCCCGCCCAGTCCAGCGTTTCGTGGCCCCGCAGGGAGCTCCACCGACGGCCCCACGGGCGTAGCCCGCATGCGCCTCCCCCACACAGCACAGCGTTTCGTGGCCCCGTAGGAAACTCCACCTAACGTCCCAGTGTCGCAGCCCGCGTGCGTCTTCCCTGGCAACCCGCATGCGTCTCCCCCGCCCGTGGCCCCATAAAAGGGGGCTCCATCGACTACGATACCTACAGCTGCGGCGTTCACAACTGGGTCCTTGGCCAGGCTAATTATTGTTGTTTT